AGTGTCTGGCACATATCGAGTGTTTAACACATGTTCCTTCTATCTATATATCCATCCATCTAATCTATTCATCTAACCATCGACCTATCCACCTATTCATCTAGCTAGCTATTCATCTTTCTATTTATCATCTGTCTATCTATCTACCTATCTATCCATCTAGCTAGCTGGCTACCTATCAAGAGCAAAGAAGAGATCTGGACCAGGGTCCTTGGTGCTCTTTCCAGGGCACTGTATTGCATTGTTTCATGTTTTAGTCATAGCTCCCCACTTACACTATAATCTTCATATCAGAATTGGTCATTGTGAATCTGGTGAAGTCTATCCTCCTAAGCTTCTGTGTGTGTGTGTCCCCTTTTTTTCCCTTTTCTGAGTATCTCTTCTCATCCTTCCCCTTCAACTACATGAGACTTCACATTCTTTTCTTGAGACTCCTCAGTGAAAATCTCAGAGGAATGAATCTGATATTAGTCATTTATAACTTCATGTGAAAATGAGTAGCTTTGCTTTCTCTCCTCAGTAAGACATACTAAACCTTATATCTGAAGAAAAAAAGAAAGGCCTCTTTTTCCTTCATAAAATAATTTCAAGCACAATGAAAACTTCCGGCAAAGTTTTTTTTGGACAAGGAACCCTTTGCTTATGTCCTACCAAATCACACCAGTTTGGGCAATTATTGTTTCTGTTTGCTCACAAGGAAAAGACATGGTAAGGAAAATTCATGGGACGGAAGAGGTCACATGCTGAAAAGAGCACTGAATCTAGAATCTGATGAGCTAGGTTTGAATGCCTCTTCTGCCTCTTACTTCCTTTATGACTTTGGATGAATTTCTTAATCTCCCTGGATTTTAGTTTCCTCTTTTGTGTAGTGAGGGGTTTGGACTAGATGACTTCCCTTCAAGCTCCAAATTGACAATTCTACAAAACTCTATGTCTACTGTTAACCGAAGTAGGTAGTACAACTAAGTGGTAAAGGTAGAAAGGTAGCAGCAGCTATTATCAATAATTCCAATGAGATCATCAGCTCCTCCCTCATGCTGGGACTGCTCATAGGTAGCAAAGTATTGAGGTGTTTAACAGATGCTGGTTGAATTAAGTAAAAGTAGGGGAAGTGAGGCTTTCACTTCTGGTATTTAAAGGCTAGTCCAATCACACTGTCTTTTTAAATGGGATAATGCTTAGGGCAAGGAGAAATAAGGAAAAGGGTGAGACAATGGCTTTGGGAGTAGAGAGTCCTTGGGTGACTTTCACCATATGCCTGTGGGTGGGTTTCCCCTTTGCTGGAAGTATTTCCTTAAGAGTGTTGTGTGTTGGGCCATGTTGAGCTATGGAAAATTTTGGGTGGGGAACACCAAAGAAACTCAGCTGTGATGGGCCTCTTTGGCAAAATCAGTCTGCTTCCTCGACAATACCTTTTGAAACATTCCCAATCCCTTAGGGGTCAAGCCAGGCAGCCAGTCAGCAAAGGACTGTAATAGCTGGTGAGCTTTATATCCTCTCCTCAGAAAATCACTGGAAAATTTAAGAATGAAAGGGGTAAGCTACCATACCTTTCAGGATTCTTGCCCTACTTAGGACTCTGGGAGTACAGAGGTAAGTAGATCAGTTTCCCCAGATTCCATCTTCTACTGACCTCCAACTCATTGCAGACTTTGGGAATGGCTAGGGAGATCAGGGAACTAGTTCCATAATCCAAAGGCCTCTCTATCAGCAGTATATAAACTCACTGAAGGCAGGGACTATTATTGTAGTAAACAAACAAATATAAAGCATTTTGTAAACCTTTAAATACTCTATAAAGGCTAGCTATAGTCCTATGTTTGTTTCTCTAGCACCTAGGACAGTGCCTTGCACATTTTTACACCTTCCCTCTCAAATCACCCCTCCCTCCCTTTTTGGTCAGGACCTTCCAATTCATTGGTATAGGGATCTCCTAGGGAGAAATTTGTGGATCAGTTAGTTCATTCGTATGCAACTCTTTGGGACCCCATTTGGGGTTTTCTTGGCAAAGATACTGGAATGGTTTGTCATTTCCTTCTCCATCTGATTTTGTAGATAAGGAATTGAGGCATACAGGGTCAAGTGACTTGCCCAGGGTCACACAGCTAGTAGGATTCTGAGGACAGATTTGAACTCAGGAAGATGAGTCTGCCTACTTCCAGACCCAAAATTCTATCCATTGCACCACCCAGTGGCCTCACTAGAAAGAAACCTCTTATTAATGCAAAACCACAACTGTTCTACAACTTACAGTCTTCAAGAGTCTGGGATGTTGAGAGATTGAAGGACTTGCTCAGGGTCATGTCATAGGTATATATGACCATGTTACTGTGTTGAAAAAAACTAGGTGGCATACAGTGTTAAATGTGTAGTCAGGAAGACCCAAGTTTTAATCCTGCCTCAGTTACTTCCCCTTTGAATAACTACCCTGTGCTAGTGAATTAACCTCCCTGAACTTCAATTTCCTCATCTGTAAAAATGACCTAAAAAATAATAGCAACTACCTCACAGAGTTACGGTGAGGTTCAAATCACATAACATGCAAACTTAGAGCACTGCATTAATGCTGCCTATTACTATCTTTATGTCTCAGAAGTGGGTCCCACACCCAGGTCTCATGACTCTGAGGCCAGGCCTGTGTCCAATATGCCATATAGGCTATCAGACAGAAGACATTTCATAAATGCTTGTTGGATTTAATTAATTCTCATGCAGGGCAACAGCATCCCTATTCCACACATAATAACAGCTGGCATTTATGTATCACTTTTAGGATTGCAAGGCACTTTCCACATATTACATCATTTTGACAGTATATTTAAAGTATGGCTCCCAGAGAAAGAAACAGAAGGAGAGAAGCTCAGATAGATTCCCATTAGGATTCTAGGCATTAGCTGAGAGTAGATAATAATAAATGTAATAGTAATAGCTGACATTTATATAGTGTTTACTATAGCAGACTCTGTGCTAAGTGCTTTTTACAATTACCTCATTTGATCTTTACAACAACCCTGGAGGATAAATACTATTATTATCCTCATATTATACATGAGGAAACTGAGGCAAACAAAGGTTAAGTGATTTGCCCCAGGTCCCACAGCTGTTAAGTGTTTGAGACTGGATTTGAACTCAGGTCTTCCTGACTCCAGGACCAGATATGATAAAGGGCCATAATGAGGGATTATAGATTTATGCACCACATCTTGTACACTAAGATAAGATGTCATCCCCAGCTCCTTTTAGGGCTCAAGACAGTTAAGAAAAAAAGATGTCATACTGCCTAGGGTGCATTTATAAACCTCATTACCCTCCCAAGAGGCAAAACAGACTAAAATTATAATTGAGTTCAGAAAAAAAATTATATACTCAATTTGATGTGTTATTGAACACCAATTTTTTTTTTGCTTAGAAATATGTATTCCATAATGTATTACTAAGGGAATTAGTATGTTTTGGGAACATCTTTTGTCTGTAAGTTTAACCACAAGGAGATGAAGAGTGATCACCTTCTAAATTTACCTGGATGCCCCTATCAGATATCATAAGGTGGTAGGCCATGGAGTTGATGCAGTGTGACACTTCTAATGTTCTGGCTACCCAGACTTTTCTATATTTCTCCCCTAGTAAAACTCCCACCCTGTGTATTTCATTTTCTTGGTGCCCAAACTGACAACTCCGTAGTCTGATCAACTAATCCATACCCATATGTTATATGTAAATGTCCTAGAGTCCTCTTTCTTTTCCCCATTTATGCCCATACTTTATAAAAGGGGTTCTTTTGGTGATTATGTTCCCATTCTTGACCCAGATCCCAGCATAACTGGTATAATTTAATCTATTGTCAATCTACAAGCAATCAAATGGCCAAGAGTTTTCCTACCCATATCTTAAGCTTTGGGTTCTCCTGACTAGCTCCTGGTTTCCTGACTGCTGGCCTCCAAATTCTGATATCATTCATATTTATTCTCATATTCTCTCTCTCTCTCTCTCTCTCTCTCTCTCTCTCTCTCTCTCTCTCTCTCTCTCTCTCTCTCTCTCTCTCTCCATATCATATAAACATATATGTAAATCTATATTTGCTGTTTAGTCATGTCAGTCATGTCCTTCTCTTCATGATAATGGAGTGCTTTGCCATTTCCTTTACCAGTTTATTTTATAGATGACAAAACTGAAGCAAAAAGGGTTAAGTGACTTGCCCAGGGTCACCCAGCCAGTAAGTGTCTGAGGCTAGATTTCAACTAATGACTTTATGACTCCAGGGGCTGAGCTCTATCACTGAACCATTTAGTTGGAACACACACACACACCCCACACACATGTATATGTATATATGTAGAGAGGGAGGGGGAGGGAGAGAGGGAAGGAGAGAGAGATCTGTTTATCTTACCTTGACATGCCTTATATCTTGGTATCTGTTCCTTTGTCTATTCACTTGGCTTTGGTATTCCACTTTACTCCTTTGGCAATGGATTTATATGAAGAATCATAGGATTTTGAGTTTAAATAGTTGAAAACATTCTATAATTAATGGGTGAATTATCAGTGCTTAAAACATACACAACACTTTCTAGTTCCAATTCACATGGAGATTTAGTGAATCTATTTCTGTGCATGCATAATAGATATGCCTTCCCCCTTTTTAGAGGGTGCACAGGTATCCTCTGAATGTTACTTGTTGATTTACCTTGAAGTCATGAAAAAAAAACCTTTTTGGTGGTTGCTGAAGTGGAGCTGAGTGTGCATTCGGGTTATTAAGTGTCTGAGGTTGGATTTCAATGCAGGTCCTCCTGATGATAGGGCCGGTGCTCTCTTCACTGAGCCCCTAGCTGTCCCTCAAGTGTATATCTTTATCTCCTTCCCAGTGGCTTTCTAGTGAGAAGGTTTTCTGAGAATACCCATCGGAGAGAAACTTCAGGCTCTGTCTCAAGCCCCTGCATGCCATTTGTCTGTGAATACAAGATACCTATCTTTGTTTTGTCTCTTTTGTGTTTATTCTTTAGAGTTCATAGATGAACGAGTACCTTGAGATGGAAGGTGTCCAACAATTGGTGAGACTGAGAGATCCATCAAAGCTATTTGAGGTACCACCAACAAATGGAGTCCAGGAGCTACTGGAAGCAGTAGCAGTAATCTAGTGAGGAACCAGCCCAGTAGTGGATTGCTGTAATAGCTGAGGCATTTGCTCTCACAAGGATGGATTGATCCAGTCCCACTGAACATGAAAGAGTTATCGAGCAGCCTTTCCATACTCAGAAGTGGACTTAGTGAGGTCTCCAAGAAGGAATAAAGTGATTCCCAGGGAAAGGAGGTGCTCCTCTACTGCATATGTTCCCTGGTGGGTAACTCAGTACTTTAGCACTTAAACCCACTCTCCCCAAGGAGGAATGCACCATCCTGGTTTGGGAAAAATTCTTTTTTTGTGTTTCTATTCTTGTTATACATTCTTAGTAAATACTCTTTTATAAAATTTAATTGATATAAACTGCTTGATAAATATTGGGGCAAGCACACCAGATGGAACAATGGTAATAGAATTCCCCCAAACCTCTGTTACTCTTAGAATCTGGATTGGAGGAGCAGTTAGTTACTCTATGGGGATCCAATCAGCAGCTGGTGGGAATGGGAGTTGGGACAGTGAAGCTAGGGGGGATGTTAAGCATAGATAAGGAATGATTTTTCAGTTACCAATGTAGCTGGCACTGACCTGATGAATCCTGGCATTCCTATTGTCTTGGGCAGCTGGCTAATAAATTCTTCCTTCCCATCACATCTCCAAAGAGATCTACAAGAATTTTCTTTGTTTTCTAATCATTAATGACTTGAATGGTTACAAATTTCTGGTCAGAGCTTATGTTGGGAGAGCACCATGACTTGCCAGTCAGGGAAGTTGGGAGAGCCATATGAGAACTGATGTAGCTCTTCAAATCATCAGATAGGTGGGTGGTTATAACAAAGGGAAGAAAAAAAAAACATGAAAGTAGAATGAGACCCAATTGTTTCAGCTGCATTGGGAATTCCCCTGCTACATTGTGTACATAGCCAACAGCTGTGCAGGGATTAATTCCAGGGCTCAGAGCACCTGGAAGAAGTAGAAAGTTAAGCCCTCCCACCTTCCCTAAGGGGGCAGAGTTGGTTCTCTTACTGGGTCTCTGAACAGGTCTCATGTGGGTCTCTGAAGCTTCCTTCTCACAAGGAAATAAACCCCAAGTGAAAATGAGAGGGAAAGAAAATCTCTTTTTCTTATCCCTGAAATAAAAATCCTTTTGTGCAATTTCAAAAGTTGGACAACATTCTATCAGACACCTCAGCCTTTGCTTTTTAGGGCAGTTATTTGAAAGGGGATGGTTACCTGACTTGCTCCTTAACTGAGTTAAAAGGGTTGTACCTTGAAATGATGTTTGGGTAAGAATTCAACTAAACAAACATTTATTAAATGCTTTCTATGCATAAATATTGTGCTACTGAACTGCAAGGAAGTTGTAACCTGAGAGGGGCCTGCTAGCAGCTGGCATCTTTCTGAGTTCTCTTGGGAGCTTGCTGCTTTTATGTTACAGGTATGCTGATTATTCACCTCTTTTAAGATGTTTTATGCACTATAAAGTGATATGGCCACCACTCCCCAGGAAAACACTAGAGGACATATGAGCTCAGAAAATATCTTTTGCGGTCTCTTGTTACTTTTGTATTCCAAAGCCTGGATTTTGAATAAAAGTCATGGCTCTCTCCAGCCAACCCTTTCTATTCTCTGGCTAGGCCACTCCATCTTCACATGATACTAGTCCAGAGTTTTAAGCAGGATAGGTAGATCTGAGAATCATCAGCATAGAGATGAGCACAAACTAAGAGAGAAAAGAAAGGCGACAGATGAGGCCAGCAAAGGCTCTAGAACAGGGTTTTTTAAATCTGTATTAACAACTACATTTCAGTTTAATCAGGTCCCTTTGTAATTCTACGTATTTTATTTTATACATTTAAAAACATCTTTCAGAGAAGTGGTTCTTAGGCTTCATATGATTGGCAAGGGGTTCCGTGATTAAAAAATATTACGAACCCCTGCTCTATATTCTATGTAGCTATGTGTTTGGGGGAGGGTGAGAGGAAAGTTTTCTAAGTTCAGAGGACCATAAAACCTGAAGTTATCTTAAAGGTAATCTACAGCATTATCCTTTATTTTATAGATTACAACAAAAAAAAAAAACCTGAAACCCAGAAAGGTTAAGGGACTTGTCCAATGTCAAACAGGCAATAAGAAGCAGAGTCCATATACTTTTTTGGAAAAAAAATTACCAATGTACTTAAGTTTTGTTGATGTGTTTTGTTTCTATGTTGCAAACATTTACAGATTACTCCCACTTCTTGAAGGTTATCTTGTAATAAAGTAAAACAATTAAGTAAAAATAATAATACAGTGACACCATTTGAAAGTGCATTCAACATTTCACATCTGTTACCACCCCCACCTCTCCATTAAAAAAAAATAAACAGAAATCTACTTTCTCCTTGCCCCAACCCAAATAAAAAGACAAGAAAAGAAAAAACAAATTTCTTACAAAAATAATCTAGTCAAGCAAAACAAATTCCTCTAATGGCTGTACACAAAAACATGTGCCTTATCCTGTAACCTGAATCAATTGCCTCTCTGTATTGGATAATATGTTTCACTATCAGTCCTCTGGAATCATGAAAGTTATTGTATTGATCATAGTTCTTAGAGCTTTCAAAGTTGTTTGTTTTTATAGTACCATTATTGTATAAATGGTTCTCCTGATTCTGCTCATTTTATTCTTTGGATTATAAAAGGTTCTCAAAATTATTCATTTTTACAGTATTGGTATTATAACATAAATTGGTCTTCCGGTTCTGCACTTCACTTTGCATCAGTCTATATGTTTTTTCATATCTTTTTGAAATCATCAATTTCTTCATTTCTCACAGCACAGTAGTGCTGTTATATTTATATACCACAACTTATTCAGCTGTTTCTCAAATGAAGACCATCCCCTTAGTGCCCAGTTTGTTTGTTTTTACCAATACAAAAAGCAGGTATAAATATTTTGTACATAAAGGGTCTTTTCCTCTTTCTTTGTTCTCTTTTGTGTATAGGTCCACCAAAAGAGCATAAATGTGCCTGTTTTCCCACAGTCCTTCCCACATTTAGCATTTTCTTTTTTGCCATCTTTGCTACCCTGATGAGTGTCAGATAGAATTTTAGGATTCTTTAATTTCCATTTCTTTAAATTTAGCAGCAATTTGGAGTATTTTTTCCCCTATGGCTATAAATAACCTAGATCTCAGCTCTTGAGAACTTATTTACTTAAAAATGAGACCTTTATCAGAAAAACACTACAAATATTTTTTCTAGTTAATTGCTTCCCTTTTAATCTTAGCTTTATTGGATTTGTTAATGCAAAAACTTAAAATTTTACATAATTAAAAGTATTCATTTTATTTTCTGTGATCTCCCTATCTCTTGTTTAATTATGAACTTTCTTTCTATCTATAAATCTGATAGATCATTTTGAAATTTGTTTCTCTAATTTACAATGTGACCTTTTATATCTTGGTTATATTTACATACTGCATATATGATACGTATATATATATATATATATATATATATATATATGTATACACACAGGTAGCTAGATACATACATCTGTTTATCTGTATATGTGTATACATACACACATACACACACATATATGGCAATTTGGAGCTTTTCTTTGTATAATGTATGAGATATTTGTCTAAATAGAATTTCTTCCATAGTACTGTCCAATTTTATTAACAATTTTTGTCAAATAGAGAGTCCTTATCCCCATAGCTGGACTCTTTATAATAATCAAATATTTGTGTGCCTAATCTATTCTACTCATCAAACTCTTTATATTTTAACCAGTATTAAGTTGTGTTAATAAATACCGCTGTGTAGTATGGTTTGAAATCTACCACTGCTGGGCCCCCTTCATTCCCATTTCTTTTCCTTATTTCTCTAGAAATTGATGACCTTTTCTTACTTCATATAAATTTTGTTATTATTTTTTCTAGTTATATAAAGTAATCTTTGGTAGTTCAGCATGGCATTGAATAAGCAAATTAATTTAGGTAGTATTGTCATTTTCATTATATTGCCTCATCCTACTCATGAGCAACTAATATTTTCTCAATTATTTAGATATGTCTTTATTTCTAGAAATTGTTATTTGAAATTACATTTATATAATTCTTGTTTCAACTTTGGAAGGTAGACTCACAAGTATTTCACAAATTCTGTGGTACTTTTAAATGGAATTTCTCTATCTTTTCCTGTTGGGTTTTATTAGTACATCAAAATACTGATGATTTACATATATTTTGTCTAAGTTCTATAAGTTTGCAGAAGTTATTGTGTGCATTTTTTAGTTGATTCTTTAGGGTTCTCTAAGTAAACCATCATATCATCTGCAAAAAGGGATAATTTAATTCCTTCTCTTTTAAAATTTTTATTTATTTCATTCTGAACTTAAGAAATAAGACAAGCACTTCCATAACATAGTAGAACAGGAAAAAATATATAATTGTACATCAAACTGCAAATCTATTATGTACAATTTGCTATTCCTTTTAAATATACCTATGGCTATTCTCTCAATTTCTTTTTCTTATCTTATTGCTATAAGCAGTGCTCTAAACCCACCATTTCTAGTACTATGTCAAATACAAGTGATGACATTGAACATACTTGTTTCACTCCTAAATTTATTAGGAATAGGAATGATTCTAGTTTATCTCTGTTACAAATAACAGTAGATTTTGGTTTTAGATATATCCTATTTATCATTTTAAAGAAAGATCCATTTAATATTATAATTTCTAGTGTTTTCTAACAGAAATCGGCATTTAATTTTGTCAAAAGCTTTTGCTGAATCTATGAGTATCATGTTTTTGTTACTAATATGGTTAAGTTTCTAGTTTTCCTAATATAGAAGCAGCCCTGCATTTGTAGAATAAATCTGCCCAGGCCCTCTGGCTCCAAATCTGGCACATTTCCACTGGCCCACCTTCACAACCCTTTCAGGTTTGTAAAGGGCTTTACATACATTAAGACATTTGATTCCAACTATATAGTAAGGGGGGTAGGGAAAGAGAGGCATGTGAACCTCTGATTCTGGCTTGTTATCCTAACTAGAGATAAGGACATGGTCCCTACACACAAAGGTCAACTGTAAGAAAGATTTGAATTGCTTCAGGAAGATGTTCCTAGTCCAGGGATTTATTATCTGTATAACCTCTAAATTTGGGATTTGTAGGTTAGAAAGGTTTAGGAATTTACCCTAAATCAGTCTTCTTGGGCACATTGCCCAGGGAATCTGGCAGGGGAGCTGGGCTGAGTATAAAGAGGAAC